AGTGGCAAAGTGTCTTGAATAGTGAAATATGGAAATTAGAATTGGCAAAAAAGGAAATTTTTGCTCCTTTGTTGTTGAGTTATTATGATTTGCCCCCTCCAGTAAAGCAATGCTTTTTGTATTGTGTTCTTTTTCCCAAAGATCACACAATTTGGCGTCATGTGATAATTCCACAATGGATGGCGATGGGTTATTTAGGATCGGACCGTAATTCAGACTTGGAGTTAAAAGGGGAAGAGTACTTTCACATCTTAGTAGCCCGCTCTTTCTTTCAAGATTTTACTTTTGTTGCAGGGGATATTTATTGCAAGATGCATGACATAGTACATGATTTTGCTCGGTTTTTGGCCGAGAATGAGTTTAGGACATTGGAGATCAAGTCTGATCATTTGACTATAGATGATGAGTCAAAGCTTCGTCACTTGACAGCGATGGTTGATAAAGGGATCAATTTTCCTAAAATGATTTCTGGTACAGAAAAATTGCAAGCCTTTATAACGTTCACTGGGGTGGGTGCACTGACTTCTGAAGCCTTGTGTAGATTGTTTAATCAATGCAGATGCTTAAGGGTATTGTCTGTTGGTTTGCCCGATGGAACTGATCATTTATGTAAAGAAATTCCTGGAGGAATTGGTAAATTGATGCACTTGAGATTCCTTCACTTGCCTTGGAATAATCAATTAGAAGGGCTACCCAAAACACTCTGCAACCTACTTAATTTGGAGTCTTTGGATTTGACGGGCTGCCAAAATCTCAAGCAATTGCCAGATTCCATAGGAAAACTAATCAACTTGAGGTTTCTTTATACTAATGGTTGCTATGCTCTCACTCACTACCCAAAAGGTGTTCGGAAATTGACTTCTCTTAGACAATTAAGGGGGCTCATTGCTAGAGCTGATCGCAATGATTCTAAAGAATTCAGCCTTGTCGATCTTGAAAACTTGAAGCACCTCCATGAACTGCATTTGAAACTGGTGGGAAATTCAATCGATGAGGAGCAGGCTAGAAAAGTTGAACTTCAGAACATCCCGAAAGTACGAATATTTTTGGCTGGGAGTATTCAAGAAGCAGACATAAATGAAGCCTTAGACCCACATAAAAGCACACTAGATTTAAAGTTCGTTGATGACTACTGTATTGACTTTTGAATACAAAGGGTACTTTATTTATCCAATCAAAAAAATAAAGTGCAATTCGCTTTAGGCAGATTCACTACACCATTAATATAGGGGGGTGGGCTGCCTTGATGGTTAACTATTGACAGACTGCAAAACAACATTCTGTTATCCCATATATGTGCTCTTTTTTAGTTTGCCCGATCAGAAATTAAATCATCTTATATATGTGCTCTTCAAATTGATATTTTTCTTCAAACATTGCGCATTTCTAATTAAGCTTACTAATACTAATTAAATTTGGACTTTGCCTTGCAGTTGAATGCTTCTCTCTGTAGGATGCAGCAAACTTTCCTAAGGTAATGGTTCATACCATATCGAACAATAATGTTTTCATTTTTCTGATTCAAAAAAGTATTGTATTATTAAAATTGCATAATTTAAATTATTAAATAAAGGATAGGCTTTCTAATATGGTAGATTATCCCTCTATCTAATAATTTATATTTTATAATTCCAATTGTATTACGTAACGAAATAAGAACTCTTTCTAATTTATTAGTATAAAAACAAATATACTTATGGAAGGACCACATGCTTATTATGTAGGAATTGCGCGTGCTTTTGGCAAGGAGAGATTTCGGATATTAAGTGGATTTGAGGCTTTTGCCTTCTTCTATTGTTGGTGAATAAGGAAGCTATTTCTGTCTATGGAGAGAAAATACGTTGTGTTAATTTTCAGTCATTTTTGTATTAGGAATATTATGCACAAGAATTATTAAATTATGGGCTTGAATCTTTTCGTGTATGCAGCTCTTAATTTTTTATCATAGGCGTGAGATTTCAGATTTGGGAATACAAAATTATTATTTTTCCTTAAACAACTAGTTAGTGGTCCCTATTTGGATACTTCAGCTTGTGGACTGATTTTAGTCTCTTAGTTAATAAATATTAGTTATTTTCAATTATCAATTTATAACTATAATTATCAACTATTTTTAATTTTTTTTATAAGAAATAGAGATTTATATTAAAATAAAAGGAGATTACTGATGAATTTCTATCAGAGGGCATTATAACCAAATTAAAAACAGAAACATAACTTACAACATTGCTAACAAATTTAAACTATACCCATGACGGATGTGAACAATTAAGCGAAGAGGACCATCTGAACTATTTGTTGGGAGAGAGTGGTGAAGAGGAGACTGTTGAACCTCCCTGCATCTTGGGTGTGAGATTTCAGAATTGGGATTTTTTATTTTTTGGTCGACTTCTTGTTGTCGTTGTTTTTCAAATTTTTTAAAAAAACTTCTATTAAAAAAACACATAAAAAAAAAAAAAAAAAAAAAGAACCACCCCTTAGAATGCGAGCTATGAATTGAGAACGCTTAATAAATCAAGAAGGAAAATTGAATCCATAGTGTCCGCATAAATGTAAAAATCTCTGGGAGGAAGAAATATAATTTTATGTACTGAAAGAGTCTCCTAATCTTCCTGCAAAATTCTTTTAAATAAGTCATACAAGTATACAATTGAAATACTAACGCATCTTAAATATACCCATAGAAGTTCCTAAAACATGAAATAACACACAACGATATGATAAAAGTTGACATCATACCAGAGTCATTGCAAAATATAAACTTCGACATCAAGGTTGTATAAATAAAAATTCAGCATCATCTGCTTTTGCGGCGATTTTTTGCAGCAGCACAGTCTGAACAATACCATTTTCCTTTTGGTTGTTCTTTAAGACCAACACATCCAAAATGAAACCATTCTATCTTGCACTGTTGAAAGAAGCAAAGACTTGTGTATCAGATAAATTTAGAAAACAAGGCAAAAGATATTTTCCATGAGAGATAAACAATAAACTTGGTTACATACATCAGGGTTATCACATGCCACCATCTCACCAAAGCTGACTTGGTTGCAGAAACAGTATGTGGGCTCATTTGGATCCACTGGTAACTCTAGCTCCATGCCAGTTGAATTAGCAGCAACAACAGCTGTTGCTACTTCTGTTGCTGCTGCTGCTGCTGCCGTTGCTGTTGCCAGCCGTGTTCTGCACCATAGGAGGGTTCAAGCAAATGTCATGGTTTGAAATTTGTCACAGGTATACCAGAGAAGCATGTCCAGTGTGCATGAATAAGGACTTTATTTTTCAAGCCAAGCTTTCTGCTGTGGGGAGAAAAACAAGAG